AATTCATGCATTGCAAAATAAGTTCACCCGCTCCAATATCCAAGTAGTTGAACCAATTCGAAACCATCAATCGAGCTGAAACCCGTCCATCGATGGATGATGGCAGCTAGCTATGCACTGTTTTATTGGAAACCCGTGTCCATTGATGAATGATGGTTGGTGGCAGCTATGCATGTATCTCATCAACCAAAAAAGGGTTTCCCCGCTTTATATTATAAAGCAACTATCATCACAAACATCCGGACAAACCGATACAACACACATCACCACCGCACACAACCCACGCACCCAAGACAAGATACAAAGGTGTCAGGCACCGTCCCTCAATGCCATCGCCTACCAAGCAAACTAAAGATGACGAAGGATAACCACTTGGAGAGGACGGAGACATCAACGAAGAAACGAGGAGGGGTGAGACGGTCCATGACCGAGCAGGGACTCCAAGACAGTGCCTCCTAGAAGGGGACACCTACGGAAAGCCGCCACTATCCAATCCGTAGATCAAGTTTTCACCCGGAGTCACATGAGAGGGGCGGGAGCACCGCCATGGCGCCTTCATGAAGGAAACGATGTTCACGGACGCCACCGCCATCGGCCAGTACGGATGTAACGCCAACTTGAGTTTTTTTTTCAATTCATGCCATGCGTGATGGTTTCAGCGGCATTGGCACAAATAGCTCCGATAAAAAGCACATACCTTTGAGCCAGCTGCAAATCATGCGCTGGGGAGGGTCCAGGGTTAGAAGTGGGCATTTGTTGAGGTGCAGGCTGATCTTCATCGGTGTATTGCGCTGGGGATGGTCCAGGGTTTGGAGTGGCTGTTTGTTGATCTTCCTCGGGGCGTTTGGAGTCAGAGTCTTCAACGCAGCGCTCTGGTTGGTCGTCGCGGTGGCGGCGTCCAGGCGGCATGGGTGGCGGTGGAGGAGGGGAGGAGCGCTGTGGTCCGGCCGCCATGACGGGGAAGGCACTAGGGCTTGGAGATTTCCTTGGGAGAGGAGGGGAAAGGTGCGGGGTTGGGCCGTGCCTCTGGACTGGACTGGACTATCGTGTTTTCCTTTCGAGTGAAAATAAGCTTCAAGTAGTAGTATTAGTTTTTTGGAAATGGCCAATACTATTTCAAGTAGTTGTATTAGTTAACTTAGCCAATACTATTTCTACACGATTACTGTCTCCTAGTCCAAGCCGGCCACAGAATTACATGTCGTGATTAACTCCAATACTTGATCCTCTACTGCGTGATGATGGTTCTTCTTGCGACTCACAAGGCGAAATCAAAGGTATGGTTCAACAGTTTGATAATCGTTTCACCTCCGAGCCTTGTGATGATCTTGATGTCGTTCTTGATGCTATTCCTCACAAAGTTACACATTAGATGAATGGTTTTCTTTTTTGTGTAAATATAGAATTTCATTAACCAAGGTGGTTCTTTACAATCCTCTTGACAAAGATTGCTAATCTCATCTGGTTCAGTAGAAGTACATGCTTTAGTCAATGCAACTAAACAGCCGACCTTATGGAAGAGACTAGGCAATACATTTATACGTCAACACTCCTCATGTGTGGCTCCTTCCGGCCTAAACGTGAATCTAAAGTGGGCTACAATTTAATTGCGCCAGCCGGGTCTTGAACTCAAGACCTCTTGGCTCTAATACCATGTAAAAGTGCATGCTCTAGGTAATGCAACTAAAAGACCGATCTGATGAAAGAGACTAGGCAATAAATTTATATGTCAAACAAGTCGTACGAGTAGATAATCTACCCATTTGAGCAAGTGTGTGAGCTACCTTGTTCTGTCCCCTACCCACATGGGTCACCGGGTCCTCTTATAGATAAAGAATAGACCAAGGTACACGGCTGAACGATATAGTGAGGTGAAAATTCATTTTTCATATTTCAACCTCGCATTAATTAAAATAGGTGGGAGATGAAATGGATGTGGTACTGAAATTGGTTTGGAAATTCAAATGGACGCGGTCTAGAAATTTCAATTTTAATTTCATATTTTTATCCCACATTATATATATAGTTGCATTTCAATTTCATATTTCGGTCCGCATTATATCTACAGTTCCAGATTCCAAATATTAAAAAAAATCAAAAACCAAATTCTGGTTTAACAGATGCGGAAAACACAAAGAAAATTAATGCTACAATTTTCCATGGGAGAGGGATGGATAATGGCAGAGTCATCCATGCACATTACGTCCTTCTCTCTGGCACAAAAGGAGATGGGACCCTCCTCTTATGTGACATTCATTTTCTATACCACGTAAAAGGCAAAGCAAATCCACAAGCATATGAGTCCAAAAAGCAAGGACCTTGAAGCTAATGAAAGGCAGATGTTTACCCGGTACATGCTCCGCTAGAAAAGACTTTGGCTCCTCTTTTAGGTATATATAGGGTTCCCGCAAAAAAAAAGGTATATATAGGATACATTACCATTAAGTAGGGCTGCTACATTTTTCACGTACTTTGCAGATTGTTAGTCCATTGCTAAGTGTACTAGAAGAACACCCGTGCGTTGTAACGGGGCCACATTAACTTTAAAAGTTCAATATTAATATTCTCATATATATCAAATGACATTGACGACCTTTTTTACCATCAATTCCTCACACACACACTCGGCCTCCCTCTTCCTCACTCTCTCCCCCTCTCCCTCTCTCTCTCTAACACACACATATTCATCTTATTGGGTACGGGACCATAATCCATCTATTTCACACACACACGCTAGTACATAACAATATGGATTATGTGTATTATATTTGCCATCACAACTGAAGGAATTAATTTCATGTAAATCGGCCAGCCACAGCTCCAAGAATACGCGGAGGAGGTGGCCCGGGTCGGCGTCGGCGCCGTCCGGCACGGGCCACGGGCCCGCTTCCAAGCGCGTCTGCGCATCGGCCACCCACGCCGTGTCCTTCAAGTGCCACTTCCACCGCACCAACTCCCAGGGTCACGGCCATGGCCAGGGCCAGGGAAGCCGCCCTTCTTTGCCCCCTTCACCGGTCGCGGCCAACGCGGTGCCGCGGCACCCGGCCTCGCCGTCCTCGTCCTCCAGCACCGTCGCGACCCAGTGACGCAGCCCAAGCATCGGCCTCGAGAATCAAGAACGCTCGACAACGTAGAGGGAAGGAAAGGTCATATACATGTCATAAGAAAGGGAGTTTATTTACTGCTCCCTCGATCTATTGTTTCCTTTGTTTGGAGATTGATTACCATCCGTGAGTTAAGGTAAGGTTTACGTGATTGAGCGATTTTTTGAAAATCAATTATTTGTTTTCTAATTAATGTAATTGAGTGATTTAAGGTAAGGTTAATTAATTTAGATTTGATCTTTAGAGATTGTTCGTGATTGATTCTACATTACTAAATAACTTGCGCCAGTATGGAAAGTTCTGATCTGTTTAGATTTCTTTCGTTGTGTGAGAGGGTGACGCGAAAATAAACCGATGAAGTGAGGGGAGGGGACGAAAAAAATCTACGAAAAAAAACCAGCGAAGGTGGGAGGAGGTACCAAAAAAACCATGGAAGGTGGGAGGAGACTACCAACTGCTTCATTAGGAGTAGAAATTATTAGAGATTAGAGATTATTTGTTTCTTGAAAATCTATTATTTGTTTCCTAAAGCAAATTGCATTAATGAGAGAGATTTCGTAGATTTGGCTAAGATAGGAAAGAATCTATTATTTGTTTGCTAAAGCAAATTGCATTAATGGGAGAGATCCGTTGATTTGGCTAAGGTAGGAAAGAATCTATTATTTGTTTGCTAAAGCAAATTGCATTAATAGAAGAGATCCGTTGATTTGGCTAAGGTAAGAAAGAATCTATTATTTGTTTCCTAAAGAAAATTGCATTAATGAGAGAGATTTGTTGATTTGGCTAAGGTAGGCGGTTTTTGCAGTTCGTGGCGGCTTAGTGTGAGGTGGGACGAGGTACCAAAAAAAACCATGAGAGGTGGGACAAAAAAAACCTGGAAGGTGGGAGTTGTCCCTGGTTAACCTACGAAATTTTGTAGATTTTTTTAGGACGAAAAAAAACCTAGAAGCGAGACTACCAACTGTTCCCTTAGGAGTAGAGATTTGGTGGCGTACCTGGCAACACTTGGTAGGTTCCAAGTGTCTTACTTTTGCCGGGTTTATTTTGGGAAGCACTCGCCAAATAAGCAAATACTCCCTCCGTCCAAAAATAAATGACTCGATTTTATACTAAAATTAGTACAAAGCTGAGTCACTTACTTTAGGATGGAGGGATTACTTATTTGACGAGTGCCCGCGGAAAAGAACTCGGCGAGCTGCCACGCACTTGGAGTAAAACATTTTTTCGGTAGTGAAGGTTGAAAAATCCAGTAAGAAAAAAAATCGGACCTCACCCAAGTTTTGAAATTTCAGAGATTTTTTTTTTTTGGGGGGGGGGGGATTCCATGTATCGAAATTCACATAATTTAAATGGATTTTGATTGAATTTGAATTTGGGTTGAAATTAGTTTAAAGTTGGCTCAAAATTCCAAGACTACGTATATTTTGACGCCGACCGAAATCACCGGAATTTCTGATTTTGGTTGAAATTTTGACTCCTATGGTACTAGCTAGCTAGAATCGGAGGAGAGACTCCTTCCTATGCGAGAAAACTTAACGACTTTTTTTTTTTGACAAAAGAAAACTTAACGACTTAATCTCCCTCGATCGCAGACCAAAAATGCTAAAAGTACGGGGTCTTACATGCCTTTACACGCTCCTTTCTAACCAACTAAACATGCCCCCCTGATTTTCAGGTGGGTGGGGCCCCTCCCTCCCCTTAGTCCAATCACAAATTGGCAGCTCAATCTCACCTTGTAAAACTCTGTAAATCTCCGTCGATGTAGCATTGCTGATCGCAGACTTGACCGAGATCGCAACCCTAATAAACCATGGCAACCTGTCGAGCACGCCACGACGTAGACGCTAGTACGACACGGATCCAAGAGCGCCCATCCCCAAGACTAGCTGAGAGAACATGAGCGCCTTGATCAGGAATCTGCGCCCCGCGCTGTCCGGGCTACTCCGGCCCAAGCCCGCCGCCCGAACGACTGTTCCGCCGCCGCCGACCGCCAGGCGCTACTACCACGCGCCTTCAACGCGGCGATCTCACGAGGCCCTGAAATCGCCCGGCCGTGACTCTCTCGTCCGTCGACCACCGCCGTCGCCGCAGGCACCAGCGGTCCCACGCCCACGGTACTACTCCTCCAGGCGACCAAGAAGTTCTAACGAGGTGAAAGTCCAGATAGTCATCGCGGGGGTCGTCATCGTCGGCGGTGTGGTGGTAACCATCTGCTACGGCACCTTCGAGACCGTGCCCTACACAAACCGCCGCCACTTCGTCGTCCTCACGCACTCGGGAGAGCTTGAGCTCGGCGAGTCGCAGTTCAACAACGAGAAGAAGGAGCTGGGCGACAAGGTCCTCGCTCCCTCCCACCCTGATTTCGTCCGTGTCAACAGCATCGCCGCGGAGATCATCCGCGCCGCCCGACGCAGCCTCGCCGGCCACGAGGACGATAAGCTCCTTGACGGAGAAACATGCGCCGGCGACGCGGCGCTGAGCCCGAAGAAGAAGGCTCCACTTGGAGCGTCGCAGGCAATGATCAAGCATCTCGACGGGTTCAAGTGGGAGGTGATCGTGGTCGACAATAAGCAAGTGAATGCCATGTGCGCACCCGGTGGCAAGATCATAGTCTACACCGGCCTGCTCGACAAGTTCAACACCGACGCTGAGATCGCCGCGGTGCTAGGCCACGAGGTATGTACATACCGTGCTAGCTAGATTATATTGAGTGGTTATTTGTACCGTCTCCTAGCAGCCGGCCGGACGGTGGATTCCCTTGTAACTTGGCATCTTGTGTAATTTTGCTTGTAGGTTGCGCACGCCATTGCAAGGCACGCCGCAGAGAAGCTCACCAAGCACATGTGGATTTTCATGCTCACGGTTTTCCTGCTCATCTTTATCGATGCGCCGGACCTTATTGATAAGCTGACCGAATACCTCCTCAGCCTGCCTTTCTCACGAAAGTATATACTCGGTTTCACATCATATATATCGTTCATGCTGATTTACAACTATTTTTCCTTGTAAAAGTTATTCTCCATGCATGATAAATACATGTTGCCTATATATCCTATGTAGGATGGAGATAGAGGCGGATCACATTGGAATCATGCTGCTCGCTTCCGCTGGTTTTGATCCACGCATTGCCCCTAAGGTCTACGAGAAGCTCGGAAAGGTCGGTGGGAATTCATCACCGTTGAAAGAGTACATGTCTACTCATCCTTGCAGCAAGAAAAGAACGCAGCTTCTATTGGATGCCAAGGTCATGGACAAGGCCATGGCGTTATATACAGAAGCAAGAGCCAGAAAAGATGAAATTGATCAATGATTATTCGTCATCTTTTTATCAACACACATTCGAGACATTTGCCTCCGTGCACCCCCTTTAAAAACTTGTAAAGGATTTTTTTGTCGAAACATTTATATTATCTTAAAATAGTAATTGAGATTATATGAGCAGTTAGGCCTTATCCCTACACATGATCACCGTATAGGCACATATATACGGGAGGGATTAGTATATAGAATCTGGGTATTGGGTGCAAAAATAGAAAAAGGAACATGGAACATTGGATTGGAGTTGGAGATGAGTGGCCCAGATCCAGGTGGAGATATCACAGGCGACATGAGGCTAGTGGGGAGTAACATATACTAGTATCATGCATATGATACTACCTCTATAGTGTATAGTATCATAGTTGACCATATTTATTGTCATGCATGACACAAAGTAGCATAGCATTTAACATGATACGGTATCTATTTATGTTACTCTAACCCTCTCTCTCTTATTTAATTGTGTGCTAAATAAGCATGTTTGCTAGTCCCAAGTGCATGTTACCGGTTATGTTACTCTCACTATGGCCAGCCTGATGTACATTTTATGAAAAAACCTGACAATGGCATAGAACTTGACTTTTACAGTAACCACCTCACCTTTCTCGTATCCCATCGTTTTGTCATTAATAAATAAGAGTATTTTTCAAATCCTGACAGCGTTGATGCCTCCTCTGTTCTATCCCATCACTAATTATACAAAAAAACTGAACACATCGGTCAACAAAAAGTATCTCAATATCTATCACAGATATTGTGTGCTGAGAAAATTGAGCCATCCCCTTCAGTTACATCTCAAACTAGACCATCCTGGGCACAAATATTTGAGTACATGTCAAGCTAGACCATCCCAGGCACAAATATATGGGTACATGTCAAGCTAGACCATCCTAGGCACAAACATATGGGTAAATATTTGAGTACATGTCAAACTGAGCCATCTCTTGTACACATATCTCTACTACTAAAGCAGAATCAAACGTCGTGATGGTTCGACCTCCTTTCATCCTCCCCTCGAGAGATCCCGCGCCGAAAAAATCGCTAGGAAAAGATCGGGCTCGCTTCCGCCCCTCTCTTGCTTCGTGCGTTGAAAACTGAAAAATAAAAACGGAAAACTGAAACACCCGCGTCCCACGACCCCGTCTTCTCCCAACCTCCTCGATCTCGAACCCCTCCATCTCTTGAGTCATGACGCTCGTGACGCACCCACGATCCACCCAAGCATCTCCTAATCCACTCCCACAATCCCCCAAAGACATTGTCTCCCTCCCCCACATTCCTCACTAAAGGGGGGCATCTAGCTATGAGCACGAGGAGGGCAAGCGAAGGTGAGAGGTGCTCGTGGCAGAGTACGGGGAGGTGCGGCACGGATTGCTGCTCACAATCCTGCCGCAGGGGAGATTCCCTGTAGCCACCATGCAGCTCTCGCTCCTCGTCGCGATCGCGTTGGTTGTGATGTGCACGGCCCATGCGTCCTTACCGTGTGGCTTTCTCCTCCATTGTCGTTCGCGGGCAGTGGATCGTTCGCGCTTTGCCATCGACTCGTCCTCCCTGCTCTCGCTCAGCCGCATCGTATTCGGGATCACCGGATCGACACACCTCTGGCCCTGCTCTGAGTGCGTCCGCCTATGGTGTGATCCCGCCTTGTGGGTGGCCATATCTGCTTTACGCTGACACGCCGTCGTTTGACTCGCGGTGCCTTCTCTCTGTACATAGGTGAGGAGCTGCCCATCTCTGAGATGTCGCTCCGCTATCCCCCTGTTCCGCCAATGACAACGTCTCCCCTGGCTGCCTGTCCCGCCCTTCCTTCAAATCGAGCCACTGCAGTCTGAAAGTAAGCTTCATCGTTGATTCATTTTTCTTTATGTTTCTGATTACACAGTGGTCTGAATGTCATGAGAGATCTTGTGGGTTCAATTATTAACTGAATTGATGATGTCACTTCATATGAGTTTGGAGATCTCGGGAGTGCCAACCATTGGCGACTCATTTTATAATCTGTCGTATAATGTTTACTTAGTTTCTGGAGAGATTAAGGTATACGTTTAGTTTATGTTGTGCCCATAAAGTGGTTCAAGAATTGCTCTTGTATAAAAGTGTAGACTAAAAATACAACGGATTAGCGGGCCACCATCGTGGTGGTGGGCGGCCATGTTTTAAGATCAAATGGTGAGGTAATATCGTATACTTGTACTTCATATGGTTACAACATTTACTTCATAGCCATGCTTGTTTTTGTCTTCTAGGCGGGCTCAGTTTGCACAGTCCTCGCCAATGACCATATCAGAGCCTGGATATAAGTAAACTTCTGGTTGGTATATTTTCTAGCTGTTTTACCTACCATTGTGCGTAATTAAACTGGCACGCCTGATTATGTTCTGTGGGTTTGCCCTCAGCTTGTAGGAATCCTGTTAGATACAAACAACCTTTCAAAGATGTGATCAGAAAAAGATTTAGAGGTAGTGCGATTGCTCTTGTTCGGTAGCTGTGAGCATAAGAGGCACGAATTATTTCAACAATGTAATGTACTACTCTTCATCTGACATTGATTTACATGCAGAACATGTATGGAGAAGTTGCAAAATCTTTTAATAATAACAGTTGGCAACTTTGACATTTCTTTCGACCAGTGATGCTTACTCACAATGATCATTCTTTCGTCGAGTTCTTGGAGAACACCTATAGAAAGTCATCCACAGATGGTAAGTTTTCTCCATAATATCTTCACATGGTTCCTCGCCTATATTTTGGAAATTCTTTACTTAAGTTACAATATATTTATCCATGTCTAAGATAAATTTGCAATATGCCCATTAAACTAAAACATCATTGATGACTTATTGCTGTTCAAATTAACTAGGTGATGGGTACTGATGGGGAACGTAGTAATTTCAAAAAAAATCCTACGCACACGCAAGATCATGGTGATGCATAGCAACGAGAGGGGAGAGTGTTGTCTACGTACCCTCGTAGACCGAAGCGGAAACGTTGACGCAATGTAGAGCAAGTAGTCGTACGTCTTCCCGGTCCAACCGATCCAAGCACCGTTACTCCGGCACCTCTGAGTTCTTGGCACACGTTCAGCTCGATGACGCTCCCCGGGCTCCGATCCAGCAAAGCTTCGGGGAGGAGTTCCGTCAGCACGACGGCGTGGTGACGATCTTGATGTACTACTGTCGCAGGGCTTCGCCTAAGCACCGCTACAATATTATCGAGGACTATGTTGGCAGGGGGCGCCGCACACGGCTAAGA